GTGCTGGTATGTGCTCCCTGGTATGATGTGATGGAAGGGCACAGCACACCACTGTAGGATTTTCCCCAAAACCTATTACCTCAATTTAATCATAAGACAGTATCAGGCAAATCCAAACTGAGAATATTCTAAAAGAAGCCAGATCCCTAATGACAAGGCTATCAAAGACAAGGAAAGAGAAACTTTCAGATTGGAAGAGATGTGACAACTAAATGCAACATAGTTCCTAAAATGAATTCTGAAACAGAAGAGGAATATAAGTAAAAAAACTACAGAAATCTGAATAAAAGTAAAATTCATTTAACAGTATTACACCAATATATTTCTTAGTTTTGATAAATATTAAAATGTGTATATGCTAAAATTAAAATGTAGTATGCTAAAATTAGAGAAAATGGAATGAAAGGTATCTGGAACTCAGTACAATTTTTGTAGTTCTTTTGCAGATATAACATTATTTCAAATTAAAAGATTAAAGTTATTAAAATGTTTGTGTGTGCATATCTCTCTATATTTTATGCTAGGGAAAATGGTACATTAACATTTTAGATGCTACAATTAGAGGTTATGAAATTTTTAACTTATGCTATCTAATTTACTTTTTTGAGCATGTTTTTCTTGGGCAATAATTTTAAAAAAATCTTAATATACTCTCTTTTGGAGCCTGCTTTGTCCACTAAGAGCATCTCCCCATTGTAATAAAAACGTATCTATTTTCATTCTTAATGGACAACTGTACACAGATTTAAACTTCATTTACATCAAATACACTTTAGTTGTCTGGAATTTTAAATATTTTTTACCCTATTCATTTTCTGCAAACCTGACTATTGATATTCTCAATTCTAATGACATTTTTTGGTAAAAAGTTTCAAGTTTATTGTTTGCTTTGTTACAGCATTTTTTTTTTGCTAAATGAGCAGAACTTTCCAATTTTTATATGCATATATTTGCTTAACATTTTCCTGTATTACTTTTGTTTTTTAAAAAAATCTGCTGTTAAAATCCCCTCTTTACTCAGGGAGTTATATAAAGATAAAGGTGGGGCTGGTAGAGTGGCTCAAATGATGGAGGGCCTGTCTAGCAAGTGTGAAGCTCTGAGTTCAAACCCCAGTACTGCCAAAAAAAAAAAAAAGATAAAGGTGGTAAACTATATTATTTTCACAATTGTTTCCTTCCTCCTCCCTGTGGGAAGAATTCCTATTCATGTTTCACTGGCTTTGGACCTGTCCTTGCCTGTGTATGTCTACTGGACATTAGCAGACATGATGTGTACCAGAGTCAAAGCAGATGCTTTAAAAAGTATTACCCTTTTCCTCTTACCACAAGAAAGGCATGTCTCAAAGGTGTTGCTGCTCTTTCGGCTGGAATCCATCACAAGATGACACATGAAGATGGGATATGAAGGCAAGCTACTAGCCAACTGACTTGGAGCTGCAAAGTCTAACTTGTAAGTGAGAAAGAAATTTTGTTGTTCTAAAACACTGAAATTTTGTGACTGTCACTGCAGCAACACAAATTAATATGGCAACCATTTATATTTTCTTTCAGAATGTTAACCACTAATTTTGATTTTAGAATTAATGGCAATTTAGACAGTGTGGAATTCTGGGTCAATTTTTACCCATCCAAGTCTAAGTAAGACAGGCTGCCTAATGTATATAAGAACAGCATCCTAGTGATTGAGTAAATCTGAGAGGAAAGTGCTTCTCTAAATTTTCCACTGGAGTACTATGAGGGTTATGGAGCATAGGTCAAGACAACCATGGTGGTGTGAATTTCTTTTGAATCTCTTATTTTACCTAAAAAATGTTTATTTCTTCAATCCCTAAGCAAAGGAACATGCAAGGAAAGCATTCCACATATACTTTTTGGTGCTGCTTATCCTAGCAAACTGCCATGTGCTCTGGTTAGAGGTATAGCAGTGAAGCAACATGGTCACAGGTGGCACCTGACAGATTCAAATCTTAACAGGTGGGACCTTTTGGAAAATACTTAGCTTCTGTTATTTACCTTCTCCCCTTCTATAAAGTGAGAATGAGATCTTACTTCACTTTTGGTGGAATTAATAATACATATAAAGAATCTAAGTATAGTGCCCAATGCATCTGGGACTTACATAAATAGTACCTCAGAATATACAGATCTAGGAGGAATCAACATGTATATAGTTGATGCCTAAATACATAACTATGAATGAAAGTTCCAAGGAAAAATTGGAAAGTAGTCAGAAAAGCAGTTGATCAATTCAGAAAAGGGTTTAAGAAAATGAGCAGTCAAGTGTTGGATACTTCATAGAGGTAAAATTAAATGAAAATAGGCTGGGTGCCAGTGGCTCACACCTGTAATCCCAGCTACTCAGGAGGCAGAGATGGGAAGGATTGTGGTTTGAAGCCAGCCTGGGCAAATAGTTCCAGAGACCCTATTCCTCAAAAAAGCCCTTCACATAAAAAGGGCGGAGTGGCTCAAGGTGTAGGCCCTGAGTTCAAACCCTAGTACTGCAAACAAAACAAAATAAAACAAAGCAAAACAAAAAATCCCCCTAAAACAGAACACTAGACTTTCCAGATAGGGAGGGGAATCAGTACCTTTGAATAGGCATATTAAGTGGTATGAGTTCAACAGAAGCCAGGTTCCAGGGAAGCTGAAAAAGTAGAAATAGCAGTAACCTGGTAATGAAGGAAAAAGGGAACGAAGGCAGAATCTCTGGGGAGTTTCCTCTTTAAGAAAAGTGTAGCTAAATCTGAGCAAAAGTATTTTGATCAGAGTCCATGGTTAAGTCAGATAGCTTCCCTAAAGATCTCATATAAACAAAGATTGTTAGGAACTATAGTCCTATCTGTAACTGGTATGTGCTGGGTGGGGTACAGGTAATGGAAGGTGTTATAGTTTGATCCGGAATGTCCCCTAAAGGCACATGTGTTGAAGGCTTGGTCCCTATATGTAGCAATGTTCAGAGGTGGGGCTTTTGGAAGTGACTGAATTATGAGGGCTCTCACTTCATCAATTGATTAATCCACAGATGGATTCATAGTGTGATGAGCTATTGAGAGATGAGGAAATTTAGGAGGTGGACCTAGTTGAAGGGAAAGGAAACGTGTGCCCTCAGTGGCTAACTCTTGTTCCTAATCTGACCCTCTTTCTCGCTGGAGCTGCTTTGCTCTACCACATGTTCCCTACCATGATGTTATGGCTCACTATGGGGCTCAGAAGCAATAGATCCAAGTAACCCTCTGATGAAACTGTGAGCTAAAACAAACCTTTCCTCTAAATTGATTTCTTAGGTACTTACTTACAGTAATGGAAAGGGAATGCTAAATCTGAAAAAAAAAAATCAATAGCAAAAAAAAAAGGAAATTTGGTCTGTTGGTCAACAAGTTTTCACAAATGGGTGGTGCTCTGGGCTGGACTCAACAACACAGCAGGTAGGAAGCTACAATACTGCCTCCTCATGCACTACAATTAAAATGCTTCTGTAGCCTTTTCTCTATAAAGGGTAAACACTGTTTTTCCACAGGACCAAACTACACAGACATAATCTGAAGTCCTTTTGTTGTATTCAAAATCAAAAGGACTTATTTTCTGATTGCTCCGCTATGGCTACTTAGAACTGTTTTCTTTAGGATGTGCTGTTGTCTTATACCAAGACTTTGCTTCATACTTCTTAAAAAGGGCTAAGCATTTCCTTACAAATATTTTAACACAGAACAGATTCAAACGCATAGTTTTAAGTGACATTTTAAAATACACGTCAGTATGAATGCAGGCTTTATGTTCTATTTATTAAAGAAAATTGTCACTGGGCCTCTTTCCAACTTTTCCCACAATACCTCAGAATGGTTCTGCCACTTCTCACAGTTTACATGTAGTTTATTAACACTGTGACAGCTAACAATATTTTAAGAACAAAGAGGCTGATCTGATGAAATGAGAAACTGCTCACCTGTGCAATGCCCATATGTGCAGATAAACAATAACCAAAAAAAAAAAAAAAAAAAAAACTGCTCAAAAAAGAAACACTTCAAAGGAGCACTATAGTTGCAAAGTGCTTTCAGAGGTATAAAACATGACCCTTAGAACATGGGTGGGGTGTGGGGGAATCTTATTTTACAAAGGAGAAAATTGAGGTTTAGAAGGTTAATAGGCTCTCTCAAAGTCACAGCTAAGGTACAGAGCCAAAACTTGAAGCTAGATATTTCAAGTACAATCTGTTTCTTTCACTTTATCACAGTATTTAAAATATCTTGGGGTGAAACTGAAAGTTTTACTAATTTCAAACTTTTTATAACTTTATTTTCATTTTCTTCTCTTTGCCACTATCATAGTAAAATCAATGCTAAATATTTACTAACTTACTTTTCTGAGTAACATGGTACTCTTATTAATCTATTTTCAAAGAATCTTTAGATGTTAAATTATTACCATTCTGAGAATGGAATGGCCATTATATATTTACTACAAATAAAATTTAACATTTAATAACACACATAAGATACTCTTTATTATTAGCATATTATAGTTGTACAGGGGGTACATTGTGACATTTATGTAAGTGCTTACAATATACCCTAATTAGATTCACTCCCTCTAAGGAGCAGGAGTGTTCTTTTTTTGGGGTAGTCTGAGGTTTGAACTCAGGCCTTTGCCTTGCAGAGATCAGATGTTCTACTGCTTGAGCCACATCTACAGTCCAGATACTCTTGAGCTTTTTAAAAAATGCTACTCAAGAAAAAAAATTAAAAAAAATAAATAACCCATTTAGTTGGTTGGAGTTAAGTACAAGCATAACAAAGCTGTGGGGAAACTACATGAAAGAAAACTGCTTTATGATTTAAGACCGACCCACAATCACATGAGCAGCTTATTTAGTAAGTTTTAGTCAGATCAAGTCTGAAAAAAATTCAATACGGAGATCCTATGATCAGCAGATGTAAAGACACACTAGTAGAATTGCTGATGTTCTCAACCCACAGTTATGTGTGTAAACGGAATACACGTACCTGTTCTTCATCAGACGAACCTCTCTTTTTCGTGCTGCTTCTTCGGCTGGCTGTGTAGGAAGTGCTGGGGAGGATGCCATAACAACTCCAGGGGCAATGGTACTAGTAGGTGCTGTGCGAATCTGGTATGTTTGTACATCTCCAGAGGCAGCTGCAAAGAAGAACAGTGAACAAGGTGTAAGACAGAGTCTCACTGTGTGTGTCAATCATCAATGTAAACATACTTTTTGGATTAGAAGAGAAACAAGGAACAGATGATTCTGGCTAAAATGTTGAAAAAAAAATCAGCACTCTTTGTGTCATTACTGAGAAATAAATCCCAATTTACTGTATTAGTACAGACAACTTGGGTAAAAGATGCCTTAACCTATTATCTGCTGGAGCTCATATTTATCTTTCATTGCAATGCAGGTCTTTTCTGTGTTTAACATGCTTACCAACCTTAAGTCTAAAAGGGAAGTAGGGCACAGCTTGGATGATCTTCCTAGAGAGAGTATAGTCCTCAATGTCCTCCTTTGATATTGGTAAATTCATATTAAAAAATTTCAAGTAGACTCTTGCCACGACATAAAAACGACCATGATTTTTCATAAAATAGCAAAATGGAAGAGAAAATAAAGCATTACGGTCAACTATCATAAATTTCTAATTCAAACAAAATTCAAGTATGAAAAAGTGTACTAGTTGATGCCATTATATTATTTGTAAACATATAGTCTTAATGTAAATGATAATGGCTAAATAAACGTAAGATGAAATTTTTCTAACTTAACAATCTTCCATTTGTGAAAAGTAAAGACAACCACTATTTGCTAAACAGCTTTTATAAACAGCTTAATAACCTCTTCTAATAAAGAACCTAACATTGAGAAAATTTGAAGGTCTTCATAAAATTATCCACATTAGATATCAGTATCAATTAAGTTGTGTAGTTTGAGTGGAAAAGATTTATATACTAAACATGTTACCATCTTCAAACTGACGTTCAGAATTCAAATTCACTGACATCCTGCTTTACAATTTTTGAGTACCTGCATGTAAAGTGAAAAGGTGTTTTACTCCCATTAATAAGCAAATGTTTTTCAAATAGCATATGTTTAATAACAGAATATATTCTGTAAACATTAGGGCTCTTTAAATAAATTATGACTCTCTAATTGGTGTTTTAGGATTACCCAAAAGTAACTATCCATGGTGAAGGGATACAGTTGTCATTACCTAATACAGGCAAAAGGTATATTGTTATTAACGAAAATATTTTTTAAAAATTTACTATTTCCTTAATCTATTGATTTTTATCTGGCATAAATTATATTTTGTAAACATTCAAAGAATTCAACAAAAAAGGTGAATTCCTTCCATAGATTCCTACAATAAATATTTTAAAAATTAAATAAAAAAAAAACAGAAAAAGCTATTTCTGTAACTCATGAAGGATGTACTTTCTCTACAAAGAACAGATTTTCATACTAGCGTATGACCATTTAGAATATTTTCAGTTGAAGTAAGTTAGAAAAAGCAATCTAAATTTCCTCTGAATAAAAAGTAGAGGAACAGAATCCTAAACCTCCAAAGATTCTTACCAGTGACTTAACAACTTTCACTGGACACATGAGAAAGAACCCCACATGAAAATAAAAACAGAACAGAACAACAACAACAAAAAAACCCCAAAACAAAACAGAAGCCTAGAGAGGTTGGGTCTTGTTCAAGGTCACAAAGCAGATACATGAAGAGTCAGATCTAGAATTCCTTTTCCTAACTCCTGATTTGTTGTCTTTCCTTTTAACCTCCCCTGTTTCTCCTACCCCAAATAGTAAATATGTCAGAGACAGATATATTTAATAGTTGTTTTTATGCCATGACATTTTGGTCCAACTAGAATAATGGAAAATATCTATTTATTTGTTAAACATATACCTAAATATTTATTATCTCAATCAATATTGAAGAAAAATTAACTATATTTTTATAGAGCTTTGTAGCACGATACTTACTTTTTCTGAGTTTATAAAGTATTTTTCAAAGAATTTACCACCTTGTGAATTCTAAATTCCCTTACCTTGAACAACAACTTGGTTGCTGGGCACTAAGATCTGCTGCCCATCAGTGGTCTGTGCATACTGTAGAATGGTAGTACCCGGCTGAGTGGCGGCGGCATTGGTCATGGTTAGTGTTTGCAGGCCCTGTACCCCATCGGTACCATTGTTAGCCAGTTGTATTGCTCCTCCCTGGGTAATGGCAACTAAAACCCAATGGAGTTTATTGTTACAAATTTAAATACTACTGCATAAAACTTTAAAAAACATACACTAAATTCAATATAGAAAAATCTACAAGATACAGTCTAGAAGAAGTTATAGCAAATACCACTAAGAAAGATTTGGAATGTTCCAGTACCTTTCTACTCAGGAAAACCACATCAAATTTCTATAACACAAACATACTCTATAAATTACATTATAATTTTATAATAATAATGCCTGCTAGTAAATTTTTAAAAATCAGACTAAATGGGAAAATGTTAAATTCCTTTTGAATTTGAGTCTGAGATCCTACTTTATGATCCATACTTTCCTTTATTCTAGCATTAACTACATAATATATTGTTTAATATTTATTGTTCCAATAGGAAACAAATTACTTGAAGACAGGAAATGTGATTTTCTTCTTTACTTTCATGCACTCAGCACAGTGGTATGCATGTAAGAGGCACCCAATAAATCACTGTGTTGAAGTACAATTAATAAAGTTGCTCATTAGAGCAACATTTCTAACTCTCTCAGCATTTGACAAGGTATAGCATTGTCAAAATTGCCATGTGTGGTGGTATGTGACTGTAGTCTCAGTTACTCAGGAGGTTGAGGCAGGAGGATCATTTGAGCCCAGGAGTCCAAGATCAGCCTGGGCAACATAGAAAGAAAAAAGGAAGAGTGCTGGGGATGTAGCTCAGTGGTACAGCACTTACCCAGAATGAGTAAGGGCTTTATCAATAGCACTGAGGTGGGGGTGGGGGTAGGGGAAGCATTTACTATGGATTTTAGTTGTTATCACATGAGTCTCATGGAATCTAAAATTAGAGCTCAAGATCATCAGTTGGAGCCAGGTGCTGGTGGCTCACACATGTAATCCTAGTTACTCAGGAGGCAGAGATCAGGAGGATCTCAGTTGGAAGCCAGTTTGGGCAAATAGTTCACAAGACCCTATCTCGAAAATACCCAACACAAAAAAGGGCTGTTGGAGTGGCTCAGTGGTAGAATACCTGTCTAGCAAGCAGAAGGCCCTGAGTTCAGACCCTACTATCTACAACCACCATTTAGAAAAAAATATACTGTAATTTCTAAGTTACATATCTTAGTATTCTAATATAGGAGCCTTTGTTGATTATTTACTAATTAACCACATGTGCCATTTATTTGTTAAAAGGAAATTAAGTAGCATTCATATGGATAGAAATTTCACTTCAAAAAAAGAGACATCACCTTTATGCTACAGTACATGGTCAAAGTTAATAAAAAGACCAATTATTATAATTTGGAAGATATAATCCTTTAGATACTAGCATTGAAAAATGTGGTTGAATCCCTTAGACAAATTTCTTTACTAAGGGTCAAGACTTACTGAATGAGAAAAACCAAAAATCATAGTACACATAAAACTCCCTAATGGACTGTAACTGAATTAAGGAGACAAGTAAAAAATGTGAGATCAACATGTCTGACTTAAATATGTTACTGTCCATCAGAAGAGAATTAGTTTGTATATAATTGTCAGCAAGCTCTGGGACACTGTCATCTGTCAAGTCATCTGTGCATGGAAAATTGATTATCTACTGGTTAATCAAGAAATAGGAAGAGTTAATGGTTATTACTTGGCTAGTTCAGCAAAATGACACTTGTAGAAATTAACAAGTTAACATATAATCCATTCTCTTTCGTTAATCTCAAAAGTTTTTACTTATGTTAGACAAGGGGAAAAATGGAATGTCTAAGAATGATTCTAAAATAAATTTTGCATGGTTAGTTGAAAAAAACAGAAGGTTAACAGAATCAAACCACAATTTCTTATATAGAGTGATAAGCAAATTCCACTGTATTTAACATACCACTTTTTCTTGGCTACCTAGCATTGAGCTCAAGGCAGGAGAAACAAACTACATAGGAAAAGACAGGGACTCTAGTATAAATTCTATCACTAAGGGCTGGAGGTGTGGCTCAAGCTGTAGAGCACCTGTTTTGCAAGCATGAAGCTGAGTTCAAACTCCAGTCCAACCAAAATAAAATAAATAAATAAATATAAAAAATTTAATTCTTATATTAAACCATTACTGGAGTTTTATTAATTGAATTCTGACAGCCGTACTTCATAAGAAATATATAAATGTTGCTGTACATGTGAGTATCTACTATACTGCTTCTTAACCAAGAACATATTGTTAAATCACTTCCACAAACCCACGTGTATGTATACAGAGAGGTTAATGGATAAAGATGATGAACAAAGCCTTAAAAATCTCAAAGTATTAATTTCTGAAAAGTAGTAATTTTTCAGTTGCTGGAGGTGTGCAAAATTAAACATCTAGGGGATGATGGTACTTCTCTAAACTTCACTTCCCTCTTTCAGATTCTGTTATGTCTCTTTCCTCAAGAGCATGCTTTCTAGTTCAAGTGAGAATATCTGCAGTAGGGAACCCGTGTTGCTGACAAGACTGTCATATCCCTTAGATATGCTGAAGTAGGGGAAAATAAATGTCATGTATCAATATAGAAGACAGATCTTGAATAACTAAGATTAGCTGGATATGAAGCTATCTTAAAAATATACACACACAGATAAAGGCATAGAGATTCACTTCTTTCTATTGGCCAACAAAGAATTTAAGAAGGAAAAAAAGACAGCTAAATTCACTGAGATTAGATAGTAAACAAGTAACTTAGCCAAAAATGCCTCCTTCTACATGCTATCAAAAGTTTCAGCTTTGGAAGAGTTAACATTTTCCTACTTGGAAATCTGTTTTTAGTACTGTTGGAATGCAAATTATAGGTAGGCAAACCAACAAATTAGTAACCTGGCATCTTGTATGAGGTTCACTGAAAGGCAAAGGTAAAGGAAAATGAGAGTAGAAAGTACCATTCACACAAATGCCTTTAATTAAACAAAAGCAGAATTCAAAAGTACTGTATAATAGAAGTAGGTGAAAGATAAGAAAAATAGGTAAGATACATCTAAGTGACAGACCACAGGGACATGAAATGGAAACTAATAATTTTGTAAAACAAACCCTTTGTTTCTTTGAGCCAAAAAGCAAAGTGTCCTGCTAATTTTAGCAGACCTTACATTTACATAATAATTCACTATACTACATTTTGTATGAAAAGAATTAATAATCAAATGCGCTATAACTATAACTAAGCCATCCTTACTCAAACATTAACTATGAAGATTTTTAAATGCTACTTTTAGAAGCTAAGACAAATAGATGAACTAATTTGGGGCTTAAATATAGTCAAAGAATGATTTCTTTTCTTTATCTGAAAAAAACTCATATTCTCTGTTAACATTACATGAGGACTAAAATTTAGTTGTTCCCAAACACTCCAGATTTTGTGCATCTACACAAAAGAAAATGTAAGGGGTTTACACACTTGAATAATCCTAAATAAAACTCTGAAGAAAAGAAAACATTTCCATTACAGAGCTATGTATATCGAATAGTACGGGAGATATAACAATGGCAACAAGAATGAGAAAAGACCTGACAGTAATATGAGTTGTTTGAAGAGAATATAACAATTAGTTTTTCTTCTCACTTTTCAAAACAGAAATATCTATTACTCACTATATTGTCCACTGCTGGTTTGGTAAATTGGAGTTGGCACCGTTACAGTGGTGATAGCAGGGGCTGATGTCTCCTCTTCAGATTTCTCTTCTTCAATCCTTGGCACTCCTGGTGCATCAGAAGATAAGTCATTCAAAATTTTCCTAGAAAAGTAGAAAACTGTATTAATTAAAATAAAAGTAAAAATTATGGCTAAGTACAAAGAACATGGATTAGGAAACCGGCAGAAAGCTGCTACTGCTTAGGATAGAAGTTTAAAATTCATGCATTATTAAGAATAAATCCTAAAGGAATCAGGGATGTCAAATATAAGATCTAGAAAGAACAAAATACACAAAAACTACATGTTTATATGTGTGTGTATGTATCTGGCTTTGTCTTGTTTTATATTTTAGGTTTTTTTCTGTGACTGGGGTTTGAACACAGGGCTTCTCACTTGCAAAGCAGGTGCTCTACTGGTTGAGCTATACCTCCATTCTGTATTTTAATTTGTTTACATAGTATCTTACTATGTAGCCCAGGGTGGCCTCAAATTCACACTGCTTCAGCTTCCCGAGTGCTGAGATTGCAAGCGTGTACCACCCTGCTCAGAGGCTCAGCTTTATATGTATGTATTTGTAGGTATGTATACAGAAAATTATAACATGAAGATTTATTTCCTATTGTGGATTATTGAGAGTTTAACATATTTATAGAATGCAAAGTAATCTAGTTTTCTTTTGCATGACAATCCAAACACATGAAGCAAGAGATTATTCTTAGACTTGCCTTTCTGGTTTTTTCAAATTACTGTTCTGGACCATCATGGTCACAGTCCCTGGATACAGCTTTCTCTTAATGTATATTCTAGATGTGTCTGAGCAATGGGATTAATTCCCTCCCTTAACCTACACAATAAGTGGCTTTTAAAATTTGGCAACCAAATCACATTAATGATAACTTAAAGAGCAATAAATATAATTTTTTTTGTTTTGGCTAGTACTGGGGTTTGAACTCAGGGTCTTGTTGGCAGGCACCCTACTACTTGAGCCATGCCCCCAGCCTTTTTTGCTTTAGTTATTTTTTGAGTAAGTTTTGCATTTTTTCCTGGTGCCAGACTGGACCTCCATCCTCCTATTTAGGCCTCTGCATAGCTGGAATTACAGATGTACACCACCACACCCAGCTTAATGATTGATATGGGGAAAGGGGTTGGTCTTGTTAACTTTTTCCCCAGTCTGGCTTTGATCTCTGCCTCTCAAGTAGCTGGGATTACAGGTGCGAGCCACCATGCCCTGTCTACCTTTTTCAAATGATTTCTAAGTCAAGAGTTTGAAAAACTAATTTTATACTCAATTTTGTAAATTTTACAATTATACTATAGTTTCATTCTACTTCCTTTGGCTGCTATGATCTCTCCAAGTGCTTATTTTTTCATTTATCAGGGTACTTCTTAACCCTTAAGGTTCTGTCATTTGCAAACTGAATAAGCATGGCTCCTATGGTAAAGATACCAAGATGAATGGGACCAGGCTGAGCATTATCTTATTATTATCTTGTATTATCAATTAATCTCTATTTCTCTAATCTTACAAGCATATTATAGGAACTTTGTTAAGTATCTTGCTACAAGCAAAATATAGAGGTTAGGATTCAGGAATTCATAAACTGAAAATAATGGTACTCAGTGTTAAAGTCTGATTATAAGGGAAGATAGTATCTTTCATGACTCTTTTACCAATGTCTAGTCTCATAGCACTTTCCATTTTATTAAAGAATACTTAAAATGATGTTGGCTAGGATTTATGCTACAAGTCAATTAAGGCAAGTAAGAGATTTTTCTTTTCAATACAAAGCTTATATAAGTCTACAGCTAAGCTTTGCCTTGAGTTCACATAGAGAAGCTATGTCGTTTCTTAATACTTTGTTGGAACTGTTTCAAGATCAAAGGTGTTAACATATTAACATGAAATATACTTCAAAGTTAAAATCTAACACTAGCTATATTTAAAACAAAAGAAATTATGAGTATATAACACATACCTAGTAACATAAAAATTCTTAAGACATCAAAATCAATTTATTGACAGTCCTTAATAGCTCTTTATTGACAGAATCCTTAATTTGTAAGAATAGAGCTTATTTTAATTAGCTTATTTAGCTTAGTAGCCAACTAACTGTATTACTACATTAAAAAATAGGAATATATATAAACATACATGATTTAGGCTAAAACAAGAATTTATTAAACTTTAAAGTAAGTTTGCTAAGATTTGCAGAACTACCTTGCTTGAATATATTTAATATGGAGTGAGTTTCTGCATATAATAAATGGTTTTGAGTCTACTGTGGAGGTAGGGCATAGACTAGGCAACACTGATAGCTGAACAAAAGAACTACAGTAGGATATCCCTAACTCTAGAGGATGGCAGCAAAGCACCACTCTGAAACAACTACTGAATTAATGTAAGTCATTATCTGCTAAGTACTCTGCCATAAACAATGTTTTACAAGCGTGTAGCTAAGTAGATAAATAACACAGAACCAGAACATGTAACTAGAAAATGGTACAATCTTATCCAATGTATTTCAAAATTTTTAACCAAAAAGCAGCAGCCAGCACTGTCTACACAAACAGAAGCAGAAAGAAACATGAGTGTTTATCCAGGACTGTTCGAAGTAAGAAGTAATCTTACTCTGTAGGATAAACTTCAATTTATTTTGAAGAAGTAACTGAAGGAGAAGAGAAGTAATATATAAGGTACTGGCTTGAGCAACTCTAACTGGCTTTCGGACATCTCTTTATCTACAACTAGCTTCTTGTGCATCTTTGCTCTTAACTATTAACTCCATACCTGTAGGAAGGTCTCCTTGAAAGAATTTCCCTTCGTTTTTGGGAATCAGTTACACTATCTACTGATTCCTGTGAATCTTCACTTTCTGCAATAGTTGAAATCTGAAAATAAAGAAGAACTTTATCTTGATAATCAAATTTAGTTCCCATAAAATCTTATGAACGTTAAGAAAAAGTCAAATACAAAAGGACTTACATACTTCAGCTTTAGATGGGAGAAAACCAAACCAATCATTCTCCCCTCTCCTTTACTTACCCTATAGACTATTTAAGATGAAGTCAAAGAAACTAAAGCATTTATGCTGAAAACATTTTTCTTTAATTTCTTTCAGGACTCCAAGTAATCAATCCTGAATGCATCAGTATTGTTAGATTTTTCTTATAGTTGTTAGAACAAAAATAAAGCTTGTGATATTATGGAAAGAATGAAAAACAAAGCAGTTGGTCCTAAGTCTATAGAATGACTATATATTTCCCTTTAACTACTGTATAAACATTTATATATTTACAACTATATAAATAAAATCAGTGATCCCTTACCACATTCCAGGCAGTTGCTTCTGGTAAATTAGTAAAAAGTTTTCTATTACATATAGACATGTTTCGAAGCTGGCATTCTATAATTATTTTTTTATTTTTAAAACAGTACTGGGGTTTGAACTCATGGCCTCACACTTGCTAGGCAGGCACTCTACCAGTCCTTTTTGTGTGTGTTAGGTAATTTGAGACAGGGTCTCGCTTTTTGCCCATGCTGGTCTTAAACTTCAATCTCTGCCTCCTGAATAGCTAGAATTACAGATCTCTGGCCCCTCTATAATAATTTTTAAGCAAAAATTCAAGGGAGAAGAAATATGCTTTTTTGGTAAGTATTCTTAGACTGAAAGGAAATGAAGATAAATAAGTAAATAAAGATTCTACATGGGGTAACAGAAACTAGAATTTACTGACAGCTTACTATGTGCTTAGCGCTATGCTAAAGCACTCATGTACATTACTTACATTGTAATACCAGGCACCAGACAGGTGCTCTCAGTATTATATCCATTTCATAGAGGAAGAACTAAGGTACAAGAGGTTAGGTACCTCATCCTAATCACAAAGCTAGAAAGTAGTGCAGCCCCTTCAAATACTTAGAATGTCTACTTTAGATATCTTTACCAGCATGTAAATCCTGATGATGGTTCCAGTCTCAAACAGTGTTGCCAGAAGCAACAATCCCATAACATTTTTAGACCTCTTCTAGACTAGAAGTGTACTCACCTAAGTATTTTTGTCTGTCAAATTTATACTGCCAGGATTCTCTAGTCTTATACTGCAAGAGCCTCATGCTCTTTCCTGAGCTAGGTGCACATGTTGCTGCTACAATGAGAATTACATTTAACCAAGACAAAAGGGCCTGTGTGGTTAGCTCCACATCAAAATATATGACAATGGCAGTAAGAAAAGACATATTCAGAGGTATGTGAGAAATTCCAAAGGATAAATGTGGTCCGAGCCTATTCATCTGACAGTGTTTTGAGACATGCAGGCTCACTTTATAACAAAGTAAATGCCCCTATTGGAATCCTTTAAAGTGTAAGTATACTTTGAAAGACTTAAAAGTCAACAGACTACAATGAATGAGTCTAGAAATGACAGGGAAAAAAGATGAGCAAAGCTGAACTTATTTATTCTTGGCAGAGTAAATAATGCTATAGATTACTGCCAAGAAGCATAAAGAAAAATGTCTCACAGCTGCTGTATACAGCTTAATCAGCAGTCTGCACAAACTCTTGCAGGATAGAGCAGATCAGGAACTGTGAAAAAAACCTTAACCGAACATCAGAAACGTAAGGAACAGTAAGACTAAACTCAACGTGAACAGTTCTGTGACAAAAGTTATTTACCTCTATTAATATTCCACTCAGAATCTACTCATCTCTGTGGATTTCTTTGCCTTCTGCTTGACTATTACATATGCCCCATCTTTACAACTGTCTTTGTTTTTGGAGAAAGGGTCTTGCTATGCAGTCCAGGTTGGCCTCAAGCTGGTGATCCCCCTGCTTCAGTCTCCAAGTGCTGGTATTATAGGCATGTACCACCACACGTGGCTCTAATAATCATCTCTGACAAACATAAAGTGACTTAGAACACTTCCTTCCAAGTTGAAACTCATTAAAACAAGCTGAACTACACACAGATTTTTGGGTTTGAAATGAAATAAACAAATGTTCTTTTTCAGAGGTATGTAATCTTTAGTGTTTTTTTCCTAAACTCAGTGGATCCATGGCCCTTAAAAGAAAAAGGCTGCCCTTCTCCAATCTAAAAGATTGTCAATTTGGACAGAAAGAATTAACTTACCACTATTTAGTGACTATACCTTTTTAATATGAAAGGAATTCATACTATTCAAAACCACATAATGAATTTAACATTCCCTCAATGGGAAAACTATTCAGGAAGAACTATGAAGCCCAATTCCTATGGACTGTTTTAACAAAAATAAAATAAAAGAACAAAACAAAATCAGACTGCCATACAGAGTACTAACACTAAGAATAAGCCTACTGTAAAGTATGGACTTTGGTTAATTATGATGTGTCAATGTAGGCTTATCAATTTCAATAAATGTAGCAATCTTGTGGGGGGAAGAGAGAATGGGGAAATCTCTTTATCTTCCTCTCAATTTTGCTGTGAACCTAAAGCTGCCCTGAAAAAATAAAACCTTAAGGAAAAAAAAACAAACAAAACTCATACCGGACCCATATTTTTGAGACTAATAAAAATCCCGTCAAGAGCCCATTTTATGATTATTAATTATAGTTATATATATTTAAGAGATTAGGTATCAAGGATGATTATATTCCAATGACAGAACCCCTTCCTCCAGTCTTTAACTCCTGCCATCTGTCTTACTAACCTTCTCCTGAGTTCCTTAAATAGGCCTTCAATTTTGGCCACTTGTGACAGTCAAGATATTTTCAAAAAGCCAGACCACTATTTGTAGATATCATGCATTAGGTCTGTATTTCTCAGCTTTGATTTTTTTTTTTTAAACTTATACCTCCTGTTTATGAGGGAAAAAAAATTCTTGTTTTTATCATTTGAAGTATCAAAATAAACTATACAGTGAATAGAAAGAAAGCAACAGTAAAGCATTCTTAGATATTTTCTAAAACTACACAGTCCTGTGGAAGTACCTTCCCTAGGTAAGGTTGAGACTCATGATTTAGACAATTTTTTATCTTAATGGACCAAGAAAACTTAGTAAAAGTCCAGAATATTGACCTTAAAACTCTTTTCATCTGCAGATCTCCTTTATAAATAAGGAAATTTCATATGGCATATATTTCTTCTTTATAAATTTTAAGTGTGTCGTTTATATTATAAAACAACAGTTCTTAAAGACAGAATAAGTGTAAATATCTTTTTGGCAGTACTGGGATTTGAACTAAGGGATTCAGGCTTCTTAGGCAGACACCTCCAGACCTAAATATTAATTTTTTACATTTATTAAAGGTGAATTATTTTTCACTAATTGTGAGAATGATGTAACTGAGTATGCTCCATTAAAAGACCGTTTATTATCCTTTTAGTAGTGATTAAGAAGTATGGTTCTAGACTTAAGTTTTTAGAAATGTGATTTAATATCTGATAGTTCTGAAAAAGGGAACTGACAATATGCAGATAACAAAAATAAGTGCAGTTTAGGTTGTGCTTAAAAAATAAAACAATCATTTTCCATTTTCATCCACCATTATGCAAGGTGCTAGTGAGACTAGTCTAGTGTGTTTTTACTCCCTGGCTCTAAGTTAGCTATTGCACGCAGGTAGGAAGGTGCTACAATTTCCTATTTTTAATAAGTTTAATACTCACTGAAACCAGGGTTTCTGAACAATTTAGAAAACTCAATTTCTCGAGTGTTTAGAGAATACAAACTTAAACTGTTTGCAGTGAAAAAAAAAAGTATGTTAACAGTTCAAACATTTATTTTCAGAATGCTCTCTCCACAACATAAGTTTCTGTCAAAAAATAATTACTCTCTTATTCATAGTTAAAATACTACTTTTTCCCAGAAGGGATAGTTCAAACATACCTGTTAGGTAAAATATCCCCTCCTTGCTTGTTATCATTAAGAAGATCAGAAACTTTGAACACTTGTTTTACATTAAAAAAAATAATAATAAAGTACCCATTCTTAAGTTAGACAACTCTTAAATACTTTGCTATATAATAATCATTGAACATCTATGATGCACAAGATTTTTTACTGCTGTCTCCATCCTATTACAAAGTAGTAAAAGGATTCTATCAAAAATTTCATTTCCTATTCCTATGCTTACTGTATTCAGCAGCATCTTGCTATTCCTTGATTTTCAAGGAATCCCAAGCACCCTCTCATTTCCAACCCTTTGGATTGCTTTTACTACCTGACTGGCTAAGCTACCTTCACTGCCTTCCAATCTTGGTTCACCATGCTCCCCAGTCACCTTGCGATAAATAGAGTACTCTTCTCCTCATGTCTTTCTTTTTATTAATCTCTCCAGCACTTATCCTCACCTGACATATTTTATTTTTTCATAGTCTGTCTTTCTTCACTCAAATGTGATCTTCATGAGACTAGAGATGTATTGTTTGTTCACTGCTGCCTTTGATAGCACCTAGAACAATGACTGGCACATAGCATGTGATCAATAAACATTTGTTGAAGAAATGGATGTAATAATTTAAAGTAATATAATCTACAAATTCTCATTTTGGCACTTTTAAACTGCACTCATTAAAACATGGCCAAAACTAATGAATGAAAAGTGAAGCCTGCAACTATCAAACCCTATTACTTTGTAACTCTCATTATTTTTGTGAGGATTTTCACATAATCTGTGAGAGGTGATATATACATACACATAAATATAATGCCAAGCTGTATTATAAAATATCAGTACAGCTTTGTTTCAAATATGTTTAAATTAATATACACATATAAATTAACATACACAATATACACACACATACACAGAATTCTTAGTATCTTACTCTCCCTTCAAGAGAAATACACCTTGTATATTTTGGAAACTTTCTTATGTAATACTAATATCCTGCTATGGGGTTCAGTTCCATTCCTTGTTTGATCACATTTTCTGATGTAAACTGTTACATCAGAAAATGTGATCAAACATTTAGCCAGCTAAAATGACCATTAAAGGTTAATAGATTCTCCATGGCTTAGGGCCTTTAAATAAATAAAAAAAAATGTACACACACACACACATATGTATGTATTTGTGTCTATGAAATCTAGGCTTTAAGAAGCACAACTTTTCTCTTTTATTTTGCAAATACACATATTTTGAATTATAATCATAGCTCATCTTAATGTGATTTCTCTCCCCCTCCCCTCCCTGTACTGGGGTTTGAACTCAGCCTTGTGTTTGCTACACAAGCAAATGCTCTACCACCTGAGCCATACCTCCAGCCCTGGAAAATGTGTTTTTAAAAAGCAGAATACTTATTTCTACAAAGCTAATAATGGCTATCTAATCTCAGGTTCAAATTATGTTGTCCCCAAATAATAGATCAATACAATCAACTATCACATACTATAACCAAAAACTGTAATTTTTACAAGTCCAGTGTAATTTTTATGTGGTGTGTGTTTTTTTTTTAAATGGAAAAACCTTCTGCAAGTGAAAGAAAGTAAAAGTTGACATGGTCAAGGTCATTTGAGGTCACTTCACTTACTACTATCCAAACTAGGTCTGGAATCTTAGGTCTCCTCCTAGCAGGTCAAGTTCTTTACACTATGATTGAGAGAAGGATATGGATGGGATAGAATAGAGAATGGTATGGTAGTACGGTAGCATTCACCAAAATAAAAACTAAGGCAAAAGACTACTGTTGAGTGATTATGAGTCCACAGAAATTCTTAAGACTTTTATTTGGATAACACTATCTCTTACTTGTTAACAAACAAAGCCATACCCAAAATCTTATAGAAATTCACACAACTTGATGATTTCACATGAAAATATTCTTTTCCCCACTTTTTAGGTAAAGTATTGAAGCAAACAAAAAGCACAAGGACAGAATGTACTAGAGAAAGAAAGAACAGCTCAATAGCTTGGTATACTATGTCTGACAATTATCTAATATATCCTTTGATGACATTAATAGAATGCTTCCAGGACAAAGGAGGTACCTCTCGCCTCTACAAATTAACAACAAGTTCTAGCTATGATACTCAAGGAAAACACAATAGTTCTCACTCAGAAGAAAACGACCAGGATGATGAGGAATCAAAGGTTATAACCAGATCATAAAAGGCTGAAGAAAGCTAGGAATCTGTTTAGTCTGGAAATTTTCTTATAAAAAGGAGGAATATAGGGTATGGGGAAGAGGAAGAAGAAAAGGAATTAAAACTTGCTACTCTAGTTTATAAGGATAAAAGTGGGATCACCAGGTGAAAAATTTAGGATGATATATTCCAGCTCACCACAGGAAAGAACATTTTAGCAACCAAATCTAATTGTAAATAGATTATCTCAGGAAAGAGGTAATCACTTTCTCTGAAAGTAATGCTGGACTACCATTAGGAAGAGAACAAATGTTACATAGTAGAATCAAGCAATAGACCAAAGGCTGAGTAGGTTACAAGTGTGGCCAAGACCCAGAAGACCTCTACAGCTTTTACTCAAACCTTCAAATTCCATGTTAATAGAGAAGGACAAAGACACAAAGAATAATTTCTCACCTTCCTTTCTAATAATAGTTTTCTTCAAATCTAGGACCTAGGACTCACCTGAGTTCCGGAGAAAAGTCTTTTTAAGTCCTTACAGGAAGACTGTGAAGCAAAAAATATGAAATGGAAGGCTGGGGTTATGGCCTACTTGAATGAAATGTTCTTTCTTTTTTTTCTTTTCTTTTCTTTTCCTTTTTCCAATAAGCTCAATCGCAAAGATCTATACTGTTCTTGCTTCTCTACAGTTAGGTAGAATAGTCACCTTCAGAGGTTTAAAGTGCCTTTATTCCCTTTGGATCCAAACCAAAGGACCAAACTCTCCAAAGAATAAGGTATTATGCATAGTATTATCACCTGCTTTTAAGCTGTACCTTCTGAATATATTATTATTACAAAATTATATATTCTAACTGAAAGTCCTAAACATAGCCAATATTACAAATGTTTCATGTGGTCTTTAAGTATTTTTCAGGTAAGGTTATTAATTTCCTATCATGTTTTTTCCATTCAAAATGTAGGTTTAGCAAGTAATTACAAAGTTATTATTTTTGTATCTTAATTTTCCTTTATTGAGGTACATCAGTCCTCCTACATTTCCCAAACATTTCCACTTTATCTCATGTACTTAACTATTCTCCCCCAATTGAAAAAAAATTTTTTTGGTAGCTTAAGAAAAGTAATTTTGAGTCTGGTTCTTGGGTATATATATTGTTATACATAAGGTGACTATATATAGGTGCAGCACATTCCTTTACTATGAAATAAACTCTCAACTACATGTGTCCTTATTTTCACAACTAATGAAAGGAGACAGAAATGGCTATAAACAACAGTTATAAAAGTATATGCAGAACTCTTTAGACACATACCTGAACTGTCTGGACTTGTGGAGACTGAATAACTGATGGCTGGGCCGCCTGAATAACTCCATGGACTTGAACTGTCTGCCCATTGGGCAGCTGTACTAAAGTTACGGTGGGAGCAGATGATGTTGCATGAGCTGCTGGCATAGATACCTATGGTGTTGAACATGGAAAAAAAATTACCATCAGATACCGCCTTAGGAATATTCAGGTTCAATACAAAGTAATGTTTAGAAGCAAAAATATGATCTTTCTGCCTGGTATGTATATAAAAAAAAAAAAACCCCTCCATATATCCCTATACTCCACTTTTCAACTTCTCCCAAATGACAAAAAAAAAAAAAATCACATAATAACAAAGTATGTAACACAGACTTCCTCTGAACACTAGGTACCACTTTATTTGTATGGTGCTTTACATTTTCCCAACTGCTTTTATACCCAATTTGTCATCTTACTCTTTGAAGAAATTCAAAACTAAGCAATAAGGATTATCTCCATTTTAAAGACAAAAATAATAACTGCTCAACAGATATCCAAGGTCAACAGATATATGCTGGCTATGAAGAAACATAAAAGTCCTCTAAACAAACCATGTTCTAAAATCTTAATTGTTCTGAAATTTGGGCAAAACTGACCTAATTAAATCTAAAACAAATACACATCTTAAAATATGCAGCTTAGTTTTCTATATTAAGCAAACACATCTTCTTATTAATGAGAAAGTATTAATATGTATTACAGTTGAAAATTTTCAATTCCTCTCGTCCTCAAAAGTCACCAAACTGGTAAAAGGTGATGTTTTAAGAATTTGTTTTCATTTGAATGAAGGGCAAGGCTGAAAAAATTATAAGAGAAACCTCTTTCTGCTAAAGCACAAAGATGACAATTTTAATGAGTCCACATCCAAGTTATAAGGGCCTTTAAGTCACACATGTCTATCAGATGGTATTTGTTGTTCCTATGCTTCAACACATTCAAGGTAGGAATTTTATTTGCTCATTTGGTAAACAGTTACTGGGACCTTTTTGCCAGGAACAATATTTAAACTAATGCTACAAAAGTGAGAAAGACAGAGGTCCCTGACTTCAAAGAAATTATCAGCATGAATATGTGGAATAATGAGATTTTCTAAGAGAAAAATGGGCATATTATGGTGAGCTACCCAATGAGACCTAAGAGAGGAGGCTACAAAGAATGTGAACTTGGAACAAAGAATATTATGATTTGCAAGGGAGAAAAGCACAAACTTTTAGGCAGAGAGGCTATACTGACAAAAGCATGGTCTATATGTGGTGCAGTGGAATAAACAGTAGTTCTGTACTACTGGAGCACATAAAAGTGTGTCAAGGTATGATGCAGGAAGTAGAAAAGATACAGTAACAGAGGTGGGCAGGGACCAAATGACTTATCATAAGAACTTGCATTTTATTTTGAGAGCACTGGGGAAATCACTGAAGGGCTTCTGAACTCCTGAATATCATGTTGAAGCTTGTATTTTACATAGATCACTTTACTGGTAGCACAACAGTCAAAAATCTCAGGGAGAGAAAAACTGGAAGTAGAGAGACCATGAGAAAACATATATAATAGCTAAATGATGATGATGGCCAGATACAGAGCATAAGTGCTAGGAATGGGAGTGAGAGAAAATGTGGAAGCAGACCAATACGAACTTTATGAATGACTGTCTAAGAAGGAAGAGGAGGAATCAATGATGAGAAAACTATGTCTTCAACTGAAACAGATAATGCAAGGAGGACAGATTTTAGGTGGTTGGGGTTGTGGTAGAAGATAACAGAAATGATCCAACATCTGAATTTGGAGACCTATTCAGGAGACAGTGAAATATTTGACTCTGATGTTTGGGGCAAAAATTCTTCAGCACATAGATTAAAACCAGGAGCTTCCATCTTTGAATAGTTAGGAAACCCTTCCTTACTAATCACATTCACACTGGCCACTTTTAAGTCTGCTTAATTTTACCTGGTTCTTAAAACGTGGTCCTTGGATTACCTGCATTTGGAGTCAGAATCTAAGAGAGAGCCAGGGAATACTTCCCCTACACTGAAGTTTATAAAACGCAGAACACAGATCAAAATAAAAATCCCTTTCATTCCACCAGAGCTAATCATTGTTAATATTTCTGTTGTAGCTCGTCTACATTTTTTTGGGTGATGGTTCTGGGGTTTGAACTTAGGGCCTCGACTTTGCTGGGCAGGCACTCTACTACTTCAATCATACTCTGAACCCACCTAGATGGATTTTTAAGGCACATGGGGCACTCAGTTTTTACAACACACTATTATGGAACCTATTTTACCTTTAAATCCATAATATATATCTTTCTATACTATTAATAATCTTCTTTCATTGTCTTAATAGCTATATGATGGAAAAAGTACACAACTTGTTTGATAAACTCATTATAAGATACTTAAGTTTCCTATAACACGAAAGCTACAATGATCATTCTTTTACTTTTTACTTAAATCTATAAAAAATTACATGTATATAGTCAAAACCAAAGAGTATTTTTTCTACTTTAAATTTTAAAAGTAAAATAAGATTATCATTAGATTGACTTTCTTCCTTTACTATTTAGATTGAATTTGTCTCTTCCTATTGAACAAATCACAATCATCACGCACTTATTTGACAATTTTAATAATTTTCTTAGTATTTAAAGGCTGACATTTAAAAAAGTAACCAGAATCAGCATTAAAAAATTATGTAAAAAATGTCTCATGTATTTTAAGAAACTTGGATTATAAAAAAAGAAAAGAAAAAAAAGAAAAATTGCTGTTAACTGGGAATAAAAAGAACTGAAAGATTATAAATAAAATGGAAACAGATACTATGCTGCCTAGAACTCAAACTTGATCATGTCATTCCTCTTTTAAGTTTTCAGTGCTAGAGGGTTTGCTGATAAAGATGGTAAGTTGAATATGTGCACATCATTTTGTTCCTTCCTGAATCCCCAATTAAGTTTCACAAAATTGGTTTCATTTTTATAGGTATAATCACACAGACACAGAAGAATGGAAGATGAAGTAACAGTAATAGAGTTTTAGAAGCTAGAGAGCAGATGGATGAATGGTAATGAATTGGGAAGACTTTAGAAAGCCAATTCAAGAGCTGGAAGCAAGAAAAGACTTATTTGCACTACAAAAATCAAGACACTCAGGATCTACAGCACTCTAGAAGGTAAAGAAAGGCTAAAAATAAGGAAGGCTGGTTGAAGGCTCTTGAAGAAGCAATTGAATCTCTTCCCCAACTCCCTGTGGAAGAATAATCCACCCCAGTTTAAGAGAAAAATGAGTATTTATTCTATGGAGAAATGGTCTCTTAACAGTCTAACACCAGGCATTGGTAGCTGCGGTTCTAGCCCTCTTCTCTTACTTGGCTTCCAGGCCTTTTTCCTGTAAGCAGGGAAAGTCTCTAGGGGACCTAATCAACTCTAAGGAAGACCGAAAAGATACTGACAGTAGGATCACCATAAATGCCCTATAGTGAAGCTCACAGCTAATAGGCCCCAAATACTCCCAATACAGCTTTATTCCTGTATTTATCTGGTGCTGAGGACTGAACTCAGGTACTTACATATGCTAAGCACATTGCTGTATAACTGAGCTACAACGCCCCACCTTTTGGTACCCCCTACTTTTAATCCTGAACAGATAACTACAAATTATCAAACATTTGAAGCCATATGAAAGATGGGGACCAAAACAAATGGAAATGGGGCAGGAAACTGTACCGAAGAAAATCTATGTGGGGAGAAGAAACTTGAAACAATAAAAAAAATCTAACATTTTCAGAGATAAAATAATGCCTTTTAGAAACACAGGATGCTGTTAAAACACAAAAGGACTATTCACACAAAAATGGAAATCTTGGAAACACGATAGTAGAAATAAATAATTCAACAGATGAGTTGGAATGTGTTGAGGAAAACTTCCAGAAAGTAGAGCAAAAAGATGGAAAACTGGAGAATAGAAAATACAGTCCTAGAGGTATAAATAACTTTTGAATCATAAGGATCCTAGAGAGAAAAGGAGGGGGAGGGAGGACACCAGCCAAATCATTTAAGGAAATTTCCCAGAATTAAAGACATTGAGTTTTCACTATAAAAAGTCCACTAAATAAACATGGTAAAAACTGATACAATTGATTCAATTTATCAACACCCAGGATAATGAAATCTTAAAGTACTGTGACCTAAGAGATTTTATAAGATACCAGGCATACAAAATAAAATGTTTTCAAATAACATTAGAGGAAGTTGATTATGGATCAATGCTTTCAAAATGCCAAAATAAAAAAAGCTTTTATGAAGAGTTTTTCACCTAGTTAAAGCTTCTTTCTTAAGACACCGCTGGATAAATATGCTCTACAGTATCAAGAATGCAAACTCCACTAGGGTAAAAGGAATTCCCAGGATGACTCTAGATAGTAGACTGTGACAGAATATTCTAACCAAACAGATATGTTAAGGACTGTCATCACCAAAATGCCTACTGGCATCACATCTTCTTTTTATCAGAGGGAAGAATGCTTAGATGGGTTCAGATTCTTATCTGCTTGTTATCTTGAACCTGTATTGACCAAGCCCTGCCTCATCTGAGTATATTCACTTATCTCCAACTCTATTCACCTTTGTCTTACTCTAGAGTGCTGGAAGTAGCCACTGGTGATATTTGAAGAAAACACAAAGCAGCCCACTCTTTCTCACTTTATTTCTGCTGGAGCTCCAGTATCTGGCCAGTATTTTAACCCAGTCAGACAGCACCCCTAACCCCAACTGTATTCACCCCTCTATTTCTCAAGTGACCTCCTTAGCTAAGTCACTTCCCTAGTGACTTCCCTAGCAGCTTTTAAACTTTTGGAAAATTGAAGCTAGACATAGCAGAGATTCTGCTAGGATTATTTTGTCTTGGGAGCATTCACCTTAAAAGAGGAAATACCACATTCTTACCCATTAGGTTTCTATTTCTTACTTGGTTTTTATATTAACACCTTTCTACTCTTATCTGGGTAGAGAGCTGATAATAAAGGAAAAATACTGAGAAGAAAAAGTTCAATAAAATTTATACCCTTAAAAACAGAATGTTTAAGACAAAGACAAAATAAAGAATCAAGAATTATATTTAAAATATACAGCAAAGAAAGAAAAAAGTATGCAGGAAAGAAAAACTACTGTCAGCCTTAAAATTTTCTTGCATGTTAATTTATTTATTGTATTTTTTAGTGTAAGCATAAACTTAACCTTTCAAATTATCTATACCTCCACTTCCCAAAATAGATGAATATGAAAAAAGGCAGTCATCAGAGTCAAAGCTTTATTCCTTGTTTGAAAGAGCCAATTAATTTATGTCAGTTAAAATGTAATTTATTTCTGGATCATGTAACTATAAATACTATATTAGTGTTTAATGATGCATTTTACTATTGTTACTATATTAATACTATCATTTCTAAACATAGATTAATACTAAAACTGAATAGAAATTTTGATCCTAAGAACATTTCTGCTCATTTATGTATCTCTGCCATAACAACTAAATTCTCTTAGAAACATATTTCTCTTGGAAGAGACAGAGCTTGGAATCTCTCCACATTTTATACCTGGGCTAATGTGGCAATCTGTGGCTGGGCTTGAACTGTCATTTGTTGATTTTCAGCTTCTGTTACAGCTGCATCTCCACTCTGCTGGTTCTCTGCTCCAGATTCCATGGTCATTTAGTTACCTACAATAATATGGAAGAGTGTTACAAGCACTACAGTGCTTTGTGTTTTTCTGACTTTAAAGGCAAATTTTAAATTATAAATAGGTATATGTGTTGGCTAGATTAGCAAATGCACTTAAAAAGCTAGTTACAATATCATGTAGTTGAATTATTACCAAATGTGTCCAAATCTGCTGAGCTGGAGAAGTTCTAGTCACTTCAAAGAAGAAATAATTATCTTACTCCACATGAAAACAAGAAGGGATTCCTCTTTTCTCCCTACTAATGACGAGGAGGAGTGGCAACAAAAATTCTAATTTCTTTAAACTGTACCAATCAGGTACACAAAGAGGGTACAGCAGAAGAGAACTAATGACAGTCTTTGAGACAGTGGCTTCATGGTACCTCCTATAAAGGGATTTCCTTGGATAAGAAGGAAGCAGTAGAGAAATCTATAAGCTACTTCCAAGAGAGACACTGGTGGGAGGGAAAAAAAAAAAATCAGTCCAAGTTTCAAGAGCCCAAATTATGGGATATAAGATAAAAAGTGAAATAAATGACCACAGAGCCAAATTAGAAGCCCCAAATACTAAAAAAGTGATGATGTTCTGATTCCTCACCCTTATTAAGTATGCAACAATTCACTATACACAACTATATATAAAGAGAGAAAAATCCCTATATAAATGCTTAATTGGACCCTGTTTTGCTAAGAGCTTAGTATGTAAGTTGGGTAATCTGGTACGGCAGCAAAAGTGGAGAGCAACTTCTAGTAGCAACAAGTTAGGTGGAGAGTATCACTATTATCATTCAGTGTCCAGCATATTACTAGATAACATTAATTTATTATTAAGGACTACCTATAATCATTCTATGAATAACACAAAAATCCCAATGCTTTTCCAAAATAAATTATTTATTTTATAACTTTGGAATTGATAATCGAAATTGACATTCATCCTTATGTGATTATTATACACCATCACAATATATTACATACAGATTACTTTTATAGGGTTCTACAAAAACAAAGTGTTTTATAGCTGTTTTAGCATTAAAAATGTAAAATGAAGTATCTGGAAAAATGAATATAGTTTAGAAATACCAGAATCCACAAAACATAGACAAAGGAAATGCTCTACAGACAGACTTGACAACATCATTATTTGAAACATTCATAAAGCCCCCAAGACCTGGGAGAAATATCTGCCAATCAATCAATACTGTAACATCCAAAGTACAAAACAACTACTAGTCAATAAGAAACTCATTATTCATTGTTTCACAAAGATACAGTTCAAGGACATTCGCTATAGAATTTTTTTTATAATACAGAAAAAATGAAGACAGCATCCATCATCAGGAGAACAATTCAAGAAATTACAGCAATAAAAATGTGTCTATCACATAAAACAGAATTTCATTTATGTACTCAAAAAAAAAAAAAAAAGGAGAACAAGAGGCATGGCTCAAGTGTTCAACCTCCTGTCTGACCAAAAAAAAAAAAGGTTAACACAGTTTAAAAGGTGTATTTATGGAAAAGGTGAGGGAAATTAAACACTAAACTGTAAAGTGGTAGCTCTGAAGAAAAATAGGATTTGGAGATATACAGGATGATGACTTTCACCTTGTACTCTACAAACTTTAATGGTCAGTATTGATTAAAGCTTTTCCTTCCAATGAACATGGGTTCAGTATTACTTATACAATTTAAAAATAACTTTAATATCAGAAGTCATGTCTAGCATTTTAAAACTATGAAAACTATACTTCAATAGTGATTTTGAGATACCCATCAAACAAGTTCTTTTCAAACCCCAGATATTTTTATATGAAATTACAATTTTGTTTAAATTTTGTCTAAACTGCTTATCCTACATACCCAAATGGAAAACCCTTTTTTTTAAAAAAGTTAAAACTATTAAATAACTTTGGTTATTATCACTTGTAATAACTTACTGATTCTGTGCCCTTTTAAACTAACAAATTTAAGTAAAGCATCAAATGTAACAGAAAACAACAGACAAAACAGTTTACCTATCTTAAAAGGCATCTACACTTAAAACAAGATACCCAACCACCCAATAGTGGATAAATGAACCTATAAGGATAGTACCAAGTAAAGCAAGTGAGATTTTCCCCCTAAATCATCATTTTAACCAGAATAAAGATGAATAAAATTTATCATCATACTACATCCTTTGAAGCCACTTTTTTTTTTAAAGTTATCATGTAATCCATACGTAGTCTAACTCTATCATTTGATTAAAAGGAATGCAAAGCACAGCTGGGCCACATTTCTTATTGCTATTTATAATGCATCAAGACTTTATTTTTTAAATAAATTTAAGGTATAAAGCATCTTAACTTTTGTTTCAGAAAAATAGAATATTACTATATCATAATAAGAAAACAAAAAGCTAATGTAAGTAATTGTAGCTGGAAAGACATTCAAAACAGGAATGTAGATTTTCTTCCTTCTCTAATATATATATATATTTTTTAAATCTGTGGTATTTCCAATAGCTAGAAGCCCCCACTTTGGCTACCAATCCATTTTCAGGGTAGGGGACAGCCTTCATTTTTAGAACATTTAGCTTAAATAGATACCAACAACTGGGCAATAGCATACACACACAAAAAGAGTCTGTAATGGAAACCTTAGGCTTTAGTGCTGGTGAGAATTATTTAAGAAAGAATGCTCTTTTTAGATGAGAAACTTCAACTTAACTAAAAGAGTTACTTTACTTCTTTTGGTTTTCACCTTGAAGCTACTGAAATAACAGTTTCCCAATTGGACTACACTTGCATTTAAAGTGGAAGCATTACTGTCACACTCTGAAAGCTTTTGCTTTTTGTTTGTATCTTCAGGTGTGAGGAAAAGAGACTGCATAGTATCATGCATAGAGTTTTCAGTTTTTTTATTAACCCAGTAACAGCAATCTAGACAGTAGTGTTGTATCCAGTTACAGGATTAATTATGAAAGTCAATATGTGGGTTCCTGAAATTGTTTGAAGACTGCTATGCAAACTTTTATGGAATTTTTTTTGAAGACAATTGAATACTACATTAAAATAAGAAAGCTACCAAGTACATATGAACTCAGAATACTGCGTGAATATTGGGCCTGGAGCAATAGAAAGAACGTCTCTTAAAAATCAATTAAAAGATAATATTGGCTTGACAATTTTGTGATTTCTCTTCTTCCTATTATTCTGAATTTAAAGTTTTATTTGGGATTGATGTTTAAGATTTGTGTATTTTCACAATTTATCCTTAAGAATTAATTTAAGACTCATCTTTTAGAATCTGTGAACTTTAACAAACATCAAAATACCACCATGACAACAAGAAGCAATTTTTAAAAATCAATTCACAAAGATATACACCATTTTGCTATAATGGTCTTAAGAATCTACCTCTTAACATAGAGAGTAAAAAAAGTGATCCACAGTAGTACTATTCAGTGAATCTTGAGAGAAATAAATAATGCTGCTGTACATAGTTGGGGAAGGGAGCCTAACACTTGGAAGAAAAGCTGGATTTGTCATTAAATGGTATCATCACCAAGTGGTTGCTGGACAAAATGAATTTTTTGTTCAGTGGGACAGATTAAAAGGTCTCCTTCAATTTAAAACCCTGATTCTAGGAAGTGAGACCACAAGATGATGTTATGGACACACCTAACTACAAAGGGCATATAATATTAAGAAGACAGAGTCAGTAAAAATAGGTCACCAGCCTCCTGATTTTGGACACAGCTATTATTCATTTACATATGTTATCATGAGAGTGCAATTTGAGATATTTATAGCACTTTAAAAAAATGCTACAAGACCAGATCATTATCTATTAGTCTCTCTTTCACATGGTAGTCAACATCTCTTACTCATTACACTGCTCTGATCATAGTTATTAAATAGTCCCTTTTATTAGTTTTTCCTTTTCATTTTAGAAAGCTTTCAAGAAATTTATCTGACCAGGTTTAACAGATACTAAAAAGCTGAAACTGCAGGAAGTGTCAATGAGTGCTTTCATGACATCTGAAAGAGAATTATGTTCTGCACTAGTCAGGAGAGTGGTAGAATTCCAAAGAAACATTAAGTATGAATATAGTATTGATAAATTTGGAGAAGAGTAACTTTTCTGACAAGAAAAATGGTACAAGCAAAGGCTTGAACTATGCCTTTAGAGAAATGTGCAAGTCAGTACCTGGTATCAGACTTTGTCACAGAAACCAACAAAAAATAACCAATGATAACACAGAGTGATAACCCTAAAGCAAGAGTGAACATGAGAATGCAAAAATGATTATAATTTTTAAAATGCAACGCATTTTGCTTGTATTCTACACAGCAATAAACCAAGGGGAAATTCACAATGAAATAATCCATTTTATTTACTTCTAACAATGAAGTCTTAAATTTTATACCATATGCATTATGCGTGTATTAAAATATCATGTCTGAAGTTATTGTATGTTAGCCACTGTTCAAGCTACTGCAAATAAAGCAATGAACAAAATTAATTTTTAGAAATTACAAAGCACATATGCTAGTGTGTAGGGGGCAAAGGAGAGAAAGAAAAGTAAAATTATAAAAACTGGATGATGGGAAGTGTGTAGAAAAATAAAGTTGGGAAGATGCTGGCAGGACTTTCACTATTATAAAGGCTGACAACTGAACCCTAGCTAATAAAGTTGCATTTAAATTCACCTATTTAGCACTTACACAGTCTAATACTGAATCGGGGAACAAATTCTAACAGTATTATTTCCCGTAAGTGTACAGCAAGTAAACTCTAATCTTTATCAAACTGCAAATTAAGCTCAAAGAAAGCCAATATAGCCACTTTTGCAAACAATCACTAATCAAAACAAAAGAAGGCTGCATATCTTCACTTTGTTCGTTTTCCTAACATATTTTGACTTTCAGATGTGCCCTGTCCCTGCAATTCTCAATATTCTAGTTCAACTTTATAAAAGATCTTTTGCACTATCTAATTGGATGTTTACATCTGA